GAACAGCCCATTCCTCTGAGATATACTCAGAGTTTAAATGAGGTCGTCGTGTAATGGACGTTACACTGTTGGACAGCCCAATAACCAGGCCGCTTTCGGCGCCTTGTGAGGCAACCAGGATTGTAGGGTCATCGGCCTTGGTCGATTCATTTGGGCGCCTCATCTCTTGTTCCGGGATTGTGCCTTGAAGCTGGAGGGTGGAGGAATCTAAGTCCAAAAGTGATACCATTTGGTCGACATTGGGTTTGGGCATCTCGTATTCAGCATCACGAAACTTGGGCAATTCCTCATTTCGAAACTTGACCCGGTTTTCCAGTAGATGTAGAGGGGACTGGTGTTTGCCAGGGTGCAGCTCGATCAGCGCCCAATCCCTGAGTCGTTGCTTGCCCGATTCACTGCGGCGGACGCTGAACGTTGGGGAGAAGATGACGTGGCCAAAAATTCGTGATGCTAGATCATTGAGACGGCCTAAGTCCTGCTTCACAGCCTTGAGAGTTTTCATATCCGTTCTCATCCTAAACTCCATATCGTTCGCAACTAGGGTCTTCATGTTTTGAAGGCCGCGATCGCTAGGCTGCACCACGGTTCTGCGGGGCTCAGGGTCTTGGTATCGGTACTCAACGTTGGGTGCCGCATCTTCAAAAATAACATGTCGACAAGTCAAGGCCAACATCCTTCCGGTAACTCTCTCACGTAGATAGAGACACTTGGTCCCGGACCGAGTTGGGATATCAAAGGCGGACATAGACGTGCCAAGGGACTCGGATAGGCTCGCTGGGGTTTCATATGGGTGAGCCAGGGGCAAAGAAAGGAGTGGCAGGGCAGTTGATGGCGCCACAGGTGGAGAGGCAGCAGACCAAGAAACGCGAGACTCCTTCATCTCACAGTGGATGTCGTAAATTCCATGTTGTTGCAAAATGGTACGACAGCGCATTACAACGGGGTGGCCTTGGGACCATTGCGTAGATTCTGGAACCACCGAGATCAATAGCGTAATAGGCTGGTCGAACTTCTCCTCAGACTCCCTGTTCCCATTATAGCCGATGCGTAGAATGTCAATGGCGACCCATGGGACACTCTCGAGGGCCTCGAGGATGGTTTGTCGAAGGGACCCCGCAGAGTCATTCCATAGGTCGACAATGGGATGCCTTCCGACAGGCCCAAGACTTTTGCCCATAGACCAGTTGCCCGCCCACTTATGCTCCCATGGGTTCGAGCTCGATCGGGCTACCAACATTGGGCGGCTGCGTAGGCCAATGTAGTATCCTGATTGTTCCGCGGCACTAGGTTGAGATGGAACTAGTTGTTGCTCCATGACGGACTCAGAAAGGCAGTAGGCAGCGGGAATACTTTTGCTCTTGGTGTGTCGAGATTTCCGAGGCGTGCGGCGTTGAATGCGGTAGGGAGATGGGGTTTCGACGGAGGTGGACATGGCGTGCTTTATTTATAGACTGTCCTCATTAGTTTGAATTTTTATGAGCGGGGAACGGGTCGGTAAGTTCACTTGCACAGCGAAAGAACAAGGGCCAACAAGGTTGGAAAATTCCATCACCGGGTCGGTAGGTTCACTTACACAGCGAAAGAACAAGGACCGACAAGGCTGGAAAGTTCCGTCACCGGATGGTAGACCAACGACCGATTGGTGATGAGATTGGCCGCCAGATGGTAGGCCGAGATCGAAGGACGAGGGGGGGTTGGCCACCTGAAGGTGACCTGGACAGAGTGTCGGTCGGTCGGTCACCCCGAAGTAGACTTGAGCAAACGGATGGTCGGACGGCGTCACGGCGGCGAGTGGGCGGGCGAGCAGGTGGACAAGACGGACGGACGGACAGACAGATAAACAGACGAACAGACAGATAAACAGACGAACAGATAGATAAATAGACGAACAGACAGACAAACAGACGAATAGCCAGACAAACAGACGAACAGACAGACAAATGGATAAACAGACAAATAGACAAAGAGACAGATAAACAGACAAACAGACAAACAGACAGACAAACAGACAAATAGACAGACAAATGGATAAACAGACAAAGAGACAGACAAACAGACGAACAGACAGACAAACAGAATCAACAAGGACTAGAAGAAGTCATTCAATTAGACTACCTAAGGTAGGTACCTACCTATTTACTTGGGCAACCACGAAACCAAACCAACAGCGGGATGTTTGGCAATCGCAAAGCCAGGGTACCAGATGCCTACCAGCTAGGGAGTACCTACCCCAGGTAACTCCTGGGAGGCTATCTACGTCATGGAGCAGTCCAGCATGGGTAGGGTCAGGTGGCGCTGGGATCCGAAGCCTACCCAGGCAGGGGAGCGACGGTGCTTCCTCAGGCTCTGGCTCAGCACGACGTCGAGGCAACAGCCACGGGTGGGAGCGACGAATCGATGCAGGGGAGTGACAGTCCCTCCTCATCGAGCTCAGTACGACGTCGAGGCAACAACCACGGGTGGGAGTGATGAATCGAGCGACGGTGCTTTCTTAGGCTCGGGATTAGCACGACGTCGAGGGAACAACCACAAGTAGGAGTGACGAAGACGGAGCTTCCTCAACTCACTAAAGCCTCCTATAGCCTACTCCTCCCTCTGTCAAACTCACCTCAACTGACGAACAGTGGGAGTTGTCCCTGTCCTTGACACAATGGATGTGCAGGATCTTCGGGATTGCGGGTGAAAGCCTAGGAACAATGGCCGAGAAGCCTGCCCTGGGCAAGCTAGTGAAAGCCCTGCAGAATGAACCGAAAGCCCGGAAACTCCGACAGACGCTGATCGATAAGAAAGGGTACAATTCCGAAATAGCCGAGACCTTCAAAGACGTAGTTACTCGGATTCTGGCCGTCGCCGACGTCGTATGTTGCACAACACATGCGTCTACCAAGGATATCCTGGGTTTATGGGCATGCAGGACTGCTAAAACTACATTCCTCGACGAAGCTGGCGCTATATCGTTGCCTGAAGCCCTTGTCCCATGGTTCAATGGCCATCCTCTAGTTATAGCTGGTAACATAAGGCAACTCCCACCATATGTTATGACTTCAAACGAAAAGGCATCAATGGGTGGGCCGCTGAAGTACTTTAAGAAGCACCAGGAAATGTCGGCCTTGGAACGCTTGATGCGCATGCAATGGCCTTGCTGGGTCTCGAGATGGTAGAACCGCATTATCAATGGCGGCTTCAACCTCGCTAAGGAGATCTTCTACCTCGAGCTTGGTGATAAGTTCGAGTACGGCGGGCAATACGCCGTCCAGCACTACCCTAGCGCGACAAAGGTCGAGATGTGGTTATGCGGTCGGTTCCCTAGAATGGCAGCCTCGCCTAGAGACAAGATCTGGCTGGCCTTCATCAACTGCTTGGGGACGGCTGTCACGACAGTCGATACCTTGCGGTCCAACCGGGGCCAAGCCCGTATCGCACTGGCTCTCATGGAATCGTTGATGCAAAGCGGCGTCATGACTCAAGTCGAAGATGCAGTTCTGGAAGCTTCCTCTGCTCTGCAGATGGATTTGAGCCTGGTTAATACTTCAACCGAAGGCCGTTCGCATACCGTTCACCAGCTCGCCGCTCGTGAGGGGCATAAGTATGTTCTTCGCATACTGAATCACGAGTTTGCGGCTCTCATGGATAAACAAGGACATAAGATTTTGAAGTACTTGAGCAAATTGAGGCCTTCCCTCCCCATCCCTAAAGTCGTTCTAGAAACCAGCTCCTTCACTCTTCATGAATATGTGGAAGGAGTGCCAATTAGGTCATAGAACTCAGAGAAGATCCCGAAAGCAAAGCGACATAAGATACTTAACGGCATTGCTGAATTCTTGATTTCCTTTTGGGTCTGCCCTACAGGTGAAAATAGTAAGCTTGATTTATTTCTATCGCCCTTGGAGTTAGTTGCTAATCTATACGCCAGCTGCTTCAGCCAGTTATCGAACTTTGCTATATGATGAGGTTGATAAAGCCTTTTTCCGCTTGTTGAAGCAAGATTTAGACTGGAGAGACCCATTAACATTCCTCATCCGCCGAACTTAAGTGGAAAAGCTGGTTCCAGTTATAGAGAGCAAGAGACTGGCTGTAAGAAATGAAGATCTAAACGCCTGAAACGTCTTGGCCGATGAAGAAGGACTTTTGGGGTGTGTTCACTATTGCCTTCTTCATCCAATAGCCCCCTTCCACCCTACCCCTTAGAAAATTACTTGCCATTATAGCTAATATGCAGTGATAGTGTAATTAACTGGAATACAGCAAAATTTTTTCCTTTGCCAGCTGCCATTCAGCACCTACTTTTCATTGCGGATATCCCAGGGTGGGTGAATGATGTTCCTGAAGGCATAAGCTTTCATAAGGATAGACTATAACTTGGAACGCGCCGTCCAGGATCAGGCTGACAAGCTAGACTATCCAGAAGTCCACGATATCCCGGCCCTTCTATCGTCGTCCTTTAGACGACAATTCTTCGAACTGGCACTCCGAAATAAGGCAATCAACCGCGAGTACATTGCCAGACATTTGAGCAATGTTGAAGTCGAGCCAACAGCTTTGTCCAAGCAATTGGAGGAGGTTTTACTGGCAAACCCGGAATGGAAGAAGGAAAACGGAGTCCTGGAAATGTGTGGTCGGCCGGGTTTGCACATGTAGGGTTCTCTGACGAACGCGACAAGATAAGGGTAGAAGACCTTTCACTGGAGTGTGCTAAGAAGTCGAGAAACTCGCAGACGCATCGCGACCGTTGACACTCCAACTATATCTCGAGACATGCCATTCGCTCAGCCTCGCTATCGAAATAATAACCGACCGTTCCTTGACGACACAAGGGGACACGACGAACCCGACTGGGCGAATTTATCCTCAACGAATCATCCTGTGGGCTACATTTGCAAGAGAATAATAATATATTTGAGATGAGCTTTCCTTTAGCCTCTTCTTTTCTTCTTAAGCTGCCTTTGCGAGATATTGTAGAAAATGCCGTCTAGAAGCTGATGGATGCAATGTATAATAACTCGTCGCTAAGGAGTTATTTTAGCCTTAATGGAATGATAACTTTTAAAAGCTATATTAACTTTAATATTACTAATAACTCTCTCTTTAAATTAATAGAGTAAGTATTAATTAATTTTAAATTGTTTAGTTAGTTAACTTAATATTAAGAAAAAAAATAAAGTAACTAAAAAGATTAATTCTATATATATTAAACTTAAAATAATTAAATATTTCTATTAAAATAATTAAATATAAAATACTATATAAGTTAAAATATAATAAGATTATTATTTAATTTTAAAAATTTAACTAAATTATAATATAATTAACTAAAAAAATAAAAAATATAAATTTATAGTAAAATAACTTATTATTACTAAATAAAATATAAATAAACTATAAAAAATACAAAAATAAATATATTTTTAAAAATATATTTTAAGTTAATAATAGTAATTTTTTTTTCTCTGGGGCTTAGTAGTTAAGAGCTTGGGACCTTTTTCAAGAGGTTGTTGGTTCGAATCCAGCCTAGGGTATAATCCTTGTAATTATACTGTAACCGCTAGCCTCGTCCCCTAGCAGAAAAGTCAGCCTGTATAGGGATTGAACCCGAGGATCCGACTTGCTAACCGGGCCTAAGGTAGCAAGCTAACTGGTCTCTAGCTTGCCTTTAGGAAGTGGACTGGCCAACCCACTATAAGAGGCTAACTACAGCGCATTCCTGCGCTTATAAATAGGTAACCCCCCCTCTATCTAGAGAAAAATAGAAAGGTTAGAAGACTAGAAGGTTGAGGTGTTAATGGCGAGGAATAGCTTGAGGTGTTGTTGTTACTAGTTATAGACTTGAAGTTGTATTGTATGCTCTATAGTGATCTTATAGGTATATAGAGTGGTAGAAATAGAAGGAAGGGGTAGGGTTTTTATTTAATATTTAAGTATAACGTACATGATAAGCGAGTGCACAATACAAGCGAGTGCACAATTTTTCTTCTAACCGCCCTCTTCCCTCTTTTAACTCCATTTTTTCAACCACGCATTATGTCGTCAATAAGCAATGAGGCAAATATCAATCTTGCCCTTCAAGCCCTTCAGAAAGACCCTCAATTAACTCCCTACCGCGCCTTAAAGATCTATAAGGTCTCTCGCCATACTCTACTACGCCGACGCGCCGGCATTACTTCGCGACGCGATACTATGCCCAATTCGCGTAAACTATCTGATCTAGAGGAACAGACTCTTCTTGAGTATATTCTTGACCTAGATTCGCGAGGGTTTCCCCCGCGACTAAGCGGTGTGGAAGAAATGGCCAACCGATTGCTCGCCGACCGCGACGCGTTACCTGTCGGCAAGCGCTGGGCTTCTAACTTCGTCAGGCGACAACCAGAGCTTAAGATGCGTTTTTTTTCGTAAATACGACTATCAGAGGGCTAAATGCGAAGATCCAACCATTATTCGCAATTGGTTCCGGCTTGTGGAGAATACAATCGCGAAATATGGTATCGACCTAGCCGATATCTACAACTTTGATGAGACCGGCTTTATGATGGGCATAATTGCAAGCGGAATGGTTGTTACAGGCGCAGAAAGGCGTGGAAACCCGAAATCAGTTCAGCCTGGAAACTGGGAATGGGTCACGGTCATTTAGGCGATTAATGTAGAAGGCTGGGCGATCCAGCTATTTATTGTGGTTGCAGGCCAATATCACCTTGCTAACTGGTACTAAGAAAGCAACCTCCCGGGCGATTGGGCTATTGTAACGACTCAAAATGGCTGGACTGATAATAAGATGGGTCTTGAGTGGCTTAAGCATTTTGATCAGCATATAAAGGATCGATTGATCGGTCGCTATCGTCTTCTAATCCTCGATGGGCACGAAAGTCACCACTCCGTCGACTTTGAGAAATATTGTGAGGAGAATCAGATTATTACGCTTTGTATGCCGCCTCATTCGTCTCACCTACTTCAGCCTCTTGATGTCGGGTGCTTTGGGCCGCTTAAAACAGCCTATGGTCGAGCAATTGAGCAATTGATCAGATGCTCTATAACCCACGTTTCGAAGACCGAGTTCTTCCCAGCCTTCTACGCTGCCCACGCAGCCGCTATGACAAGGAGTAATATTGAAGGAGGTTTTCGAGGAGCTGGACTTGTTCCCCTAAACCCAGAAAATGTCATATCGAAGCTTGATGTGCAGCTACGGACTCCAACACCGGCTGCAGAGGAGGTCGGCCTCCCCGACCCTTGGGTCTCGAAGACCCCAAAGACAGTGCTTGAGGCCAGTTTGCAGTCTGAATATCTTGAAAGACGAATGAGAAGGCATCAGAGCAGCTCTCCAGCATCAATTCTCGAGGCGCTTAAGTCACTTTCAAAGGGAATAAAGGCAATAATGCATCAGAATACTTTATTGAAAGCTGAGAACCAGATCCTTCGACAGGCAAATGAGACTCTTAGCAAGCGGCGCAGAGCAAAGAAAACCCGCCTATATAAAGGAGGGAAGATGACTTTAGATGAGGGCAGGGGTGAGATAGATCAGAGAGACGTTGATGCACAGGTAGCAGCTGAATCGTTGAGAAGTAGTGGTCGAGGGAGGTCAGCGATACCGAGGGAAAGGCGCTGTGGAACTTGTGGAAAGGCCGGTCATAATGTAAGGACTTGTTAGACTATAATTAAGACCTCTGAGGAAGAGCATAGCGATTAGTTTTAATTGATTGATTGTATTGTTGTGGTTTTATTGAGGTTTGAATCTTAGAGGTTAGGAAAAATTGTGCACTTGCTTGTATTGTGCACTCGCTTATCATATACGTTATAGTTTTTCCCTATTTGATAAAGTAGTAGGAGTTTTATAGGTCTTGATAAAGGTAAAATAGTATATACTAAATAAATAAATAGTATTTTTTATTAATAACTTAATTATTAAATTATTAACTTATTATTATTATAGCTATTAATAATTTAATTATTAAATTATTAACTTATTATTATTATAGCTATTAATAATTTAATAATTAAATTATTACCTTATTATTATTATAGCTATTAATAGTTTAATTATTAAATTATTAACTTCTTATTATAATAGCTATTAATAATTTACTTATTATTAAATTATTAATTTATTATAATAATATTTATTTTTAAGCTATAATATTAATATTCTATTAAAAAAGATAAATAAAATTTACTTATATTAAACTTACTAATTATTTTATATAGAGTTTAATAGCTTAAATAAGTTTGCTTATAATAATTATACCTTATATAAGTATTACTATTAGAGTCTACTTTAATAAACTGCAGCAACTATCTCAACGCCCCACATCCTAATGCTGGTATGTACGATCCTATTGTGTGGCGTGAAACTAATTGTTCGACCACCTCTAGATCAAGACGGTATGAGTCTCGTGCGCTATGCGGAGGGCCATACGGGCCAAGGACACAAGTGTCCATATTGCCCTCGGAGATTCCCTATCCGATACCGCTTGGTTGAGCATTTACGAGCACATACTAATAAGCGGCCATTTGCATGCGCCAGTTGCGGCCTTGCGTATAAGCATCCTCAGAGTCTCCAGAAGCATGCGAAGCGCTGTCTGCCTCCTGCTCAACTACCTCATCAGCAGAACATGACTCAGAATACGCCAGTTACCTCTGACATTAGTATATCTGAGTCTTTCCCTATATGCCAAGGCGACGATTTGGCCTCTACAGTTGGCACGCCCAATGATAATCTCGATACAGGTTATCCACCAATGGCGACAGAAAACTTCCAAGGCTTTTACGGCTATAGCCTACCGATCCAAACCTGGCCAGCCGGGGCATTCTTTTACACCAGCCCTTGGGACGAGATTCTCCTTGCCCCTCCCATTACTGTGACCACTCAGCAAGGCATGCCAGGGGGCCAAGCAGAGAACCAAGAAGAGGAACACCTAGAGACAGTCTGCTTCAACACCTCATGGGTCCGTATCTAAGTGATTCTACAAAACGGATACAATGAAGGGAATATATACGAGTCAGGTTTTTGATAGTAAAAATTGATTTTGCATTCCGGCTTTCTCTGTCTGTAGCTTCCGAGTTAGCGTTTGTTGTCACCGTTTGTTGTATGTGAGCGGCAAGATGGATATTATTATGCGCTATCCATAACCCGTCATAGATGCTTCGTGGTCGAGACCATTCAGTAGTTAAGTACTTCGTCCATCTCGAGGCGAGAGGGACGATGCTGGGAGGTCAGTGAGGCAACGCTCCACCATATCATGCCTCCCAAGGTTTAGCTCCAGGGCGCTAACCAAGCCGGTCCTTCCCTCCATGGCAGCCAAGGTCCTTCTGGCATTGGAGGCCCCTGTTTCCTAGCCGTCCAGGGCACCCATCTCGGTCCCGAGCGGAGACCAATTATTGCAACCCGACCCCGTCAGCAGGGTTCTGCTGATGACCAACGCCGGATGTTACGGGCCGGCTCGGCATCGATTGTACCCACATTACCCGATGGCCGATTGCGGCCTGCGGGCCGTTGTGTGGCATGCTTGGATCAATTTTCATCCACGGAGCCAGCGCGTCTGTTGACAATACGCGCTATCAAAATTGCGTGCTTCGTGTAAGTCCTGCATATGTGGATGTCATCGCGGTTATCCCCAGCCTTCTTCCTGGCCCTACATTACAGCAGAGAACCATAATTGATGCTAGGAGGGTGTAAAAGTAAGCAGTGCACAGACCGCGATTTTGAAGGGGGCGTGTAAGCCTCGATCCGACTTGGGCGCTGTTTTCTCAGCCGCTCCTCCTGAGTTGCCGAGTTACCTCTGACGGGGGGGAACCTGCTTCCTCGGTGCATACAGCATAGCTCTCAAGTGGCCGCCCTGCGCTCGTGAGTCACCACATCGGCGTAACTATGCAGGAGGCCCGGTCCGTGAATAATCTGTTCGCCAACCTGAGCCACTCGTTCCGAGACCACCCCGAGCTGTTGCAGACAAGCCTTCCTGAATGCCAACGCGCGCCGGGGGGCTGAATGCACGTTACAGGCCAGACACTATGGAGCACCGTAGTAGAAATAAACGCATCGGAGCGCCGAAAATAGCACGATTAACCAGGTTGTGCAATGTCATCTCTAGCGTTTTAATATTGAAGGCAAGGCGTCACTTTGCTCGAGCCAATTAGCGTGTGTATCTGATTTTGGTGGGCAGGCACATGCCATCACTAATTGCTGCCTTAATGCCTTAGGCAGACAATGATGACACAGGCGCTTCAAGAATTGGAAAACAAAGACGCGCGCCTCCACACAACTTTCCCTAGCGGATCAGTTGCCACCTCTATTCCCGCCTTATCTAGTCACCGTCCTCGTTCCCATAAACCGGTTTCCGCGTAGCGGCGAGGTAGTGTTGCACCTCGCTCGGCATCAGGTGCCAGCGATGCTGACTGATCAAGAATTCCGAGCTAACGGATCGACTAAATCGTCCGCCGCCGTAAACTGCCTGGAGTGAGTTCTCCCCATCATCACGTCCCGCGTTAGCACACTGAGCTAATACGTTAAATGGAACGTCACAGCATTGCGGATTCAATATACTCAATATGTCGAGATTTCCCCCAAGCACAAGGTGGTCCTCATTCGAGGGTTGGGACTACAACGGCATGAAGCAAAGACTCGAGGGATTGCTTGCCAAACTGGACAAAAGCGTGCTCCTACGCCATGCCGAGCTCATCAAAGGCCGGAAAATCAGCATGAGCGAGCCGTTTTCGGCAGGGCAGTATTGGATCTGTTTTGAGATGGTCGCTGAGGACGACAGTCTTATCATCGCACGCGTTCGATTGCCTCGCCACCCTGACACTCTACCAACAGTGAACGAAAAGAACGAACAGTACTCAATCGCATGTAAGGTTTCTACAATGTACTTTGTAAGGCAGACACTCTCGACTGTAATCGTGCCTTGCATATATGCCTACGAAGGTCCCGGATCCCAGCTCGCTACCGATGCTGGTGCAATCTACATACTTATAGAAGGCTTTTATAGGAACACGCTGCAGGATGTTGCGCCAGACCTTTGCAGTTTGTCGGTCCGTGAACCTTTACCCCCATCACCTTCAAAGAATCTAACGTGTTCTAGTTTGCAAAGCAGGAGCATATCATGGCTTAGTAGATAACAACTTAAACGTCGCTAGCAATATTAATATTTCCACTAATTGGATCCATCTCTACCATAATAGAAATAGAAGAGCCCATTATCAACAAGCTATCTTCCGCTATATCTAAAGGCTTAATATCACAAAAACCTTTCTCTAATGCTGTCGAGTACTTCACGGCTCTTAGAGAAGCAGCTCTATGCCAGACAAGCTCCTATAACAACAGTACAGACAAAAGCCTACCGCACTTCCACAGGCTAGGCACATTAATTTTCCTTGATATTATATAATCTATAACATTCTTTTAGGTATCTCATGCATAATATCCCTTCAACCACATAAATCTCGGCATACAAAATATTATAGTCGATGATAATTTAAACTTCTTAGCTATTATTAATTAGGAATTTATTCAAACTACTCCTTAGCAAGTAAACCACTACCCAATGCCTTTTCTACTATTATAGCCAGATAAAAGAATCAAAGCAATCCTAGATAACCCTCAGCATCTCGCACATAAGAATATATTACGGCAGGCCGATGCTAGGGAGTTATATTACAGGAAGTTCCGGGAAGCCGAGTTAAGACTCAATAGGGAGGGAGTATATCTTGGAGGTGGATTTATAGAGGTATTAGAGAATGTAGCATCCAGGATCTATACTTATTTTTCCAAGCTTAGAGACTCGCCGGAGCAAGATGAGGGCTTGGTTCGCGAGATGGTGCGTCTGGCATTTAAGTTTGATGACGAGGGAACCAAACAGTATCTCGAGGCGATGTCGTACAAGCTGATACGAGGAGATCATGCATAGGTAGCTGAGGCAGACTTGAACGGGCCAGCGTCGGATCTTGCACGTGATAAAAGCCATTTTCCGCAATCCCCTTGATTGCGTCTTCGAGCGCAAACGTGGTTGATGCCATCAAGTAGTGCTCAATCCGAGCGACAAAATTCCATGGGAGAGAAGGTCGAGAACGTGGAGAACTATGTCCCCTCCCCACACAGTGCCCGATTACTGTCGCACTTCCTTGCCTGTCACGCTAGTTTAGCCTCGTCTTGGCAGAACCACCTCCATCCCGTCTCGAGAAGAATGGAGTTGTTAGGGGGTGGAAAAGCAGTTAAGAGGCAGGGTTCGAGGTCTGGTGGCGAGGAATGCATGATTGGTTTGTGTGGCGTCTGTTGGACCAAACATACTAGTTTCCATGAGTAAGATATCTACCGGTATATGGTTTCCTTCCTTTCAGCAGCCTGCAGTATCTACCGAGGCATCCTCGATTCTCATTTGCTGAGTCTGTATGTGCGGCGTCTAGATATGTTGTTGTATTGCTGTCGTTGGCGAATTCGACAATCCATTCAAATGCAGGTGAGGCCAGCAGCGAATCAGAATATGCCCCGTTGGAGGGTGAAAACATGACGGGACCTGCTCCAAGCTCCGATTGACAAAGCTAAAATACTTGATTCAGGCACAGTGGTCTCCAGAGCAACTGTCATACGAGCTAGCTTCAGTTATTATCAACTTGAAAGTCAAAAGAACCAAGTTTTTGCACACGCATAGCGATAGAGCCTATTACCATTACCTCAATGGCCTCAAACGCAAGCCAAGAAGGCGAGGAGAGAAAGGCATTTATTATCGAACTGATGCAAGAGCAGTTCGGCCGACATGTACATTATTCCTCCCATCCTTCTCCCTTTGGGCTTATTGACCTTGGACCTAACCTCCTTTTATGCAGGTCCTGCAAAGCTCCCGTCTCGGCCGCGATTCCAACAATTTTGTCTACCGACTAAAGCTCTCGGTATCCGACAGCTTGCCCGTATCACCCTCCGCTAATTGCCGGCGCCCAGGGACAGTGACCCTTCCGACCGACACAGCGGACGCCGTCATTCGCATCTCCAATCCCCAAGCGCTTGTCAATGAAAACGTTCGCGTCCAGAACGAGGTGGCTGCGATGAGTCTGATGCGAGATGCCTTGGCTGAGACATGCGATTCTTGTATCGCGCGTCGAGCATTGATTCATGGTGATTTCAGTAAGTTGCAAGACCGACTTCCGCAATACTCGAATACACATGCTGAACAGGTGCTCTAGACACATTCAATATGCTGTTTGATCCAAGTTCGAATCGTGTTACTGCACTTCTCGACTTCGACTTTTCTCACGTCGCCAGTCCAGCTAATGAATATTTCTATTCATTTAGGACCTTTGGTGCATTGCTTGTTGGCCCTTTCGAAGAAGGCGACGAGGGTCTGCTTCGTATCTGTCTACTCCAAGGATTCGACGGGAAAGTCCCATTAGAACCCAACGGCAAGGGAAGGGTAAACTGGACGGTTGCTGTGATGATGGACGAGGAAAGCCAAGCAGCAGGGCTGCTAAGACCGGCCGATATTTACGGCTGTGGGGAGTTGGCCGCGTTGCATTGGTTCCTCGAAGACGTGTCGCCGCCGTATTTCTACATGTCTCGTTGGGTGGCAAACATGAAGCTAGAGGATATCGACGATACCCACCGGTCTATCGGTAAAAGTCTAGATAGGTATCTGGTTAGATGGACATGACCCATAGTTTCATTCAAAGCGGCTTGATTCACATGTTGTCTAGATTGCTATCGCGGTAGACATTTGCGTTTGCGCATCAAAAGTCGTGCCTACTGAGTAAGCTGGTCCAGGTGGGATCTATCATCAGTGTGGTCAGCACGAGGACATTGAACGTCGGCTGGCAATCCGAGGAAGGGTATATGGACGCACCCAATGCCCCAGAACAAGCTTGCCACCACTTTTCGAAGGGGCAAAATTGCTGCCAGCCTTTTTTGGGTAACTAGTGACCCAGTCACTGCGGGTGTTGGAGTTGTCAACAGTAACATGGTCATTGGCCTTGTTCGAGTAACTAGTAACCCAGTCGCTGTGAGTGTTGGAGTTGTCAACCGTATGTGGCTTGTGCGACAACGGCATGCCTGTGGCGGCGGCCACGAGAGCAACGACACCAGCTACGGAGAATCGCATTTCGACAAAGACTTGCTGGTTTCCTGATAATCTTGAGATGAAAATAAGAGATGATGCTCAGGGAGCGGACCCGTCCAGGCCATCTCATTCAAGCAAGTCATTATTATATCTTAGCCATTACTGCGACGAGGGTATTTGACTCCAAGCCGCAAGGGTGCTGCAATAAAGCCCAGCGGAGCAATATTGCCATCTATCCGTCTCACATTATCTGTATTGGTAGATATGGGAGATCAGGTGTGGCACCCCCGCCGATGTTTTGCCAGGAAATCGTCTGAGTTGGTGGTATGCCCTAATTTGAACCCATGAGAACAAATACACGGGTCACGCGCCTTCTCAAGACACCTTCCGTTTTGGTCTCGCTAAGGTATGATGAGTTGTCTTCTCCTGCAGTGTCCAACCTTGAGATGTGTGATTGATAAGCGGTTATGCTCGGTTCCGTACAAATATGGGGATGCGGGGGATATGCGGAGACTGATCGACCTCTTGTCAATTAGGAACAATAGGGATATCGTGAAACTTACTCGCCGTTGCTCGACATTCGCATCTAGGTGTCTTTCCAAATCATCTTCCGTTTTGAAGAAGGCTGAGCAAGTGCAGCTTGGCTGATTCGCAATAGCAGGATACATGGAGTAAAATTCCAAGGATGCGAGGGAATGATGAGTGATGACGACTTGCTACGCGGGAATTTGTTGTTGGACTGTTATCTTTCCGCGGAGCTGTCAGGTAACAATTAACACGTTAAGCGTAAACGTCTAGCTCCCTTCAGCGTCGATGCAGCTTTAGTTATCAGCTAGGCTGACGTGGCGACTGGGTACCCATGTATCAGTCGCCGCCTGACGTCCATTCGGGCCGCAATACTCCACTAATTAGGCAGTATATATTTTGGACCCTGGCGCATTAAATTCCCAGCACTGCCCACTTGTTCAACTTCCTTCGTTTATTTATCTATACTAACGCCATTCCACAACCCACAGTTTATACATCTGGCGCTGTACCATGGACGTGCCTTGCGAAACTTGTCGTGGCAACAATGTTGTCAAGGGTATCCCGTGTCCGACTTGCAGTGGCAAGAGCTAAAGGCGGTTTGAAATGCCTCTTAGGTTGGTAGGTTCGCCATTCCCGTGCCTTTGCTGCTTACTGACTGATATCTGACATTCGTAGCAAATTGGAGAAATCCATAGATGGAGGAACTGGGGAAGGCTGAGGATATAAGATTGCATTCGCTACATGGTACAAATCGATTGCTTCATGCTAGACGCATCAGCAGCGGATGAGGTTGGAGGCCACTCTCGTGTCACCTCTCTTGTATGTCTTTGCTTGTACAGACTCGAGAACTATATAGTATACCAAGGACACACAAGATCCGCCATATCCACCAATACTCCGGTTCCTTTCCAATTCTCAGTCCGCAAGGGTACCAAACAGAACCCGGCGAGCCAAAAAAAAGTCCAGCTGAGCTTGCACTACGTTGGTAGCCAGAACACATTGACTATCAGGCACATACTCATAAATAATAGCATAATAATCCTCGCTCGGCGAAATGTCGCGCATGACTCCGTCAACTCGTGCTGCAGAGGGCCGAGCCAACGAGGGCAATGCGCAGAGTTCCTTGCCATTGATCATTGTCCAACCAAAGCATTTCCTCAGCTGAGGGGTATTGCTGTATTAAACGACGCCAGGCGTCTTGCGAAACAGCTGTCGGCGGCGACCCTCATCAGAGAAAGCATGAAGATTGAGGATCGCATCGTGGAACGTTTTCGGTTCGGGGTTCAGCCAAATGGAGTCGGAGGAATGTTCGATCGCAAATCGTATCATTTCAAGGAGGGAGGCATTTTGACATTCTCGCTGGATTGCCCAGTATCGTGTGTCCTCCGGCGCGTGATTATCCCAGAACTTTATCGTCAGCCAACTTCCTTGGATAAGACAAATGCAGAGACCTACTACTTTGAGTGCATAGACGCAACCACCAATCTCTAACCTCCAGACAATGCCATCCAGTCCGTAGCCTAGCAGCTTGGTGAAGTTTACCGTTCCCTGGAGTTTGAAGCGCCACAGCCGAGGTCGATGGAAGTCTCGCCAGGCGCAAGCACTCGTAGCATCGTCCATCGATCTCTCATCGAGAAATGGTTGCTGTTTCGCATTTTAGCACCGCCTCTCAAAATTTGACAGAAGCGAATCGGGTTTTGGGGGACGCCATTGTATGCGCGAGGTTGGTTTGGCAGCCTATAGGGGTTACTGTTGCAAAACCCCCAAAAGCACTACCCAAGACACAAATTGGGCCTAGACGACGAAGATCCCACCCCCACAGTACATGGAGCCATGTACCTCACTTATAATTTCTTGGATTATTTTGGCGCCGGGGCTGCTGCAACGACAGCGAGAGGGACGCAGCAGACCAGCAGGGAGCAGTTCAGCACATTCAGGCATTATCGGGATCGAATTCACGTACTAAATCTTCCAAGCAAAGCTAGACCGCCGTATTCTACAGAGGGAACCTGTCTCTGAGACCTCCGCCTCAGAGCTATTGAGGTTCTAGTTTCCAAGCTCACGAAGGAGGTTGATGTTGCCCGCATGAAGATGGCGTAATCAGATAAGACAATCTTCTCTACTTTCTGTTACTTGCGCTTTTAGGGCCATCAAAATAATTTCAGCCATTCCTCAGGGCCTAGGCGTCAATAGATAATTCTCTCGTAATTACAATAACAGAGTGCAGGAGGTAAATTCAAAATGAATAAGTAACAAACTAAATAAAAGACCGGCTATATTCACCATCATACCACATACAAAACCAGAAATACAGCACGGCAAGACAATAGCAAATAACATGTCAATGAATTCGTTTCTGGTGTTTCAGGACATTGTCATGTCTGGTATACAATTTCCCACAGATCGTACATGGGAAACGTTCGCGAAGATCCTCATTTACATGAGTCTCGGCGTGCTTCTTCATGTCGCTCTGGTAAGGCATCCTGATACTGCAATACGGACACACCACAGGCTTCTCTGCTTCCCTGATATGCTTACTAGCACCTGTTAGCCTTGTCAACCTGGCCGTGGGAAGAGATTAAAAAACACTAACTTCCTGTCTCGGTAGGTCCCGAAGGAATCGGAACAACCTTGACGGTCGCAATAAAACACACCGCCTACGACAAATTCATCCTTTTCAGGATATAAAAGTCGTATTTCGTCAAAGCCTTTACCGTTCTCGTGGGCCGTGATGGTGTCAGTAGCATGCTCGTAGTAAAATGAGTGTGAGTGTTGGTAGTCTTCCAAGGCCAGGTCAGTAGAGGGATTGTGTGGAATGAGCTCAATTTGATCGATCGACGTCGAGGGTTCATTCTACAGAATGGTGGAAAGCCCCATCTGTGGATCGTTAATTGAGTCATACTCCAGTTCTGCTCTACCCGACATGGCCTGTTGGGAATCGCTGCCGCGCAAAGTCGAGTAATCGGGCATCGTCGAAAAAGGAATGTCGTACCCAGGGTTAAGCATGCCCATGGTGTTCGTAGTATAATTGGAAGAAACGCCATCTTGAAACGGCAGGTTAGGATTCATTTCGAAAGGCTCGGCCATGATGTCATTGTGAGCTGGAGGCAAGGCCGGGTCTGCAGATCCGCTCAGATACCTCTCGATATCTGAAGCACTCTGTAGCCAGTCTAGGATATCAAAGGCTGTTCATACCAAAGAAATAAGTCGGATTCCAAATCCATGGTGCGTCTACTTTGAGATGGACTGACCTTGAGAAGAGTGAGACGGGTCCACGGTTTGCTCAGAGGGTGTGGACCCGTCTCGGTCGACAAAATCTGGGGGCTGCCAACTCATGTACGGTTGAGGAAGTTCAAATTTGCGTACAGGCAAATCTTGATATTACCGGGGACTGTTTGGATTTAATGTGGTCAGGAAATTGGCCAAGGGCTGTCAAAGGTGGTGATGGCAACGACTCCGGTCTTTGCCGATTAGGTATCAAGAAAGCCCAACCACTGCTCGCCAAGTTCATCTACATGATTCTAGATTCCACAAGGCTTAAAACTTGTAGGATGAACAGCGAGAATATCAAGCTCATTGGCCTACTTGTAGCCGAGATCAGTCGGAGGATCACCAACACTTTCTAAAGCAGGAGGCAGACCACCGACGCCATGGAGGCAGACCAAGTGTTGGGTGGGACCATACACTAACATGCAAGAGGCATACCACTGCTGACAAGCAGACAATAGTGATTGGGCGGTAGCTTGCTACAGCCCACACTCTTTGCACTTTCGTAAGCGTTTTGGGAAGCGCTTCATTTTCAACCCCAATTATAGGCTGGAACAAGCGACTTGCAGCAAATGCGGGGAAGCTACAGTATTGGATGGAGGCTCGCGGCCAACGGATGGGAGGGGACAGAACCTCTACGTGTGCTGATTCGATTGGCTCTAGTAGATATGGGCGTTTTCAACCCCAAGGGGGCTTGTTGAAACTTCAAACCAAAAGGGGATAGCACAAGAACACATAAAATGAGGTTGATAGGTTGGAGGATAAAGTAGCGATGAACACCAAGCAAGAAATTACCTCGTGGCAGAACAATATCCACCATTGATTTCTCATTCCTAACGTCTTCATTACTTGTTTCCTCAATGGCTTCAAACATCGTTGACAGAGTGGGTAAACCCCGGCTTGACAAGTATCAGAGGCTTGTTAGCAGACTGTACGAGCCTCTGATCCTTTTGTTGCTTGAACAGCCTGTGCAAGGGCCGCATGTAATTTCCAACCACGACAATGCCAGTCTGACATCCTCCCGGCGCAGACTGACCCAAAACCTTGCCTACATTTGCGATTGGGACAAAGGTGGCCGTACCACCACCTCCATCGCCATCGAGGACTCTGAGCATTGCTATATGTTTTGGGTGGCCTCTAACCAGGACCATGGGCAAGAAGCAACGGATGCAAACGTTGGAGCATCAGACTTTCTGAGAAAAATCCTGCAGCATCTCCAGGACACAACCAGAAAACCAAATCCGAACGCTACGTGGCTGAGAAATCAAGAAGATGCTTGTGCGCGAGCGTGTACAGCCTTTGCATCTCGGAGAATCAAGAAGGAGGAGAAGATCTTGTCAAACATGGCCAAGAGGTGCCTTGACTACGTTGGCAACACAAGCTTTGACCACGGGAATATTGCCGGAGCTAGTGAGTCATGTCACACACGCTGAGCCAGGTCGATGTTCCTAACGATCATTTCAAGAGATTAATGAGCTCAAGCCTTGGTTGCGGCAATTCAACTTCCAATCGAGAGAGTCGGCATACGAAAAATGCATGTTGGCTTATAATGCTCGGAACGATCCGCAAATGGATACACTCCGAAGACTTGGCCAAGAGGTTGTGGATGACCCGGGTGCTGAGCCAATAGTCCTTGCAGCTAGTACCGTACGACACTTCGTTGGGCGGTTGGCAGAGCACATCCGTACCGCAAAGCAACTCATCGAAGATGCCTTACGCGTGAGGCATGTTTTTGACGTCTTCCAAGTGACCACGGTTGAGCCTCCTGCGTGTGTTACACCACCAGAAGCTGACTCCCATACCACCCTGGATGGCATTTTCAAGAGGATTTTTCAGAGCAGAGACAGTAACTTGCCTGCTTTTCAGTTCGGTTTGTCTAGACTGAAGGAGCACGCCTGTATCGAAGCGAAAATCAAGGAGAAATACGACGAGATCCAGGCTAAGCCTCCAATTGTTCACTCTGAAATTCAGGTTTTAGAGCATTTTCACAGAAACGAGCTGCAGTTTGCAAACAACGACCGTTTTGTTGGCACCAGCAAGTTTTCTTGCTTCTGCTGTAAGCTCTACTTCCGCCATCACCCCTTGAACCCGGTTGAGCCCGATTCACATGAGCAGGTCTACTTAAATTGGGGACCCATTGCACTCCCCGAAGGATCTTTCGATCCCTTGTACCTGGAACAGAGGGATATCATTAATCCTCTGGTCCGAGATCTTCGAGTCGCAGTTTTGCAGCTGTTGAGAGACAAGCGCATCCCTGGTTTTCGCCACCCAAATTCCGTCACTGGAGTTACTCGATCATCAGATGGTCTGGGCTATTTGAACGATGAGAGAAAGGAAAATCACGGTGCGTTTGTGCTGGGTATCCCATGGTTTTCATCATAAGGATAAGGAAAATAACTGACCATTCGACGCCAGTAGTTGAGTCGTTCACATCTGAGGCAGAGTCGGAGGCAGAGTCAGAGGGCGGAGTCGCGTTATAGTCAGGCCACTCTGTGGTAGATCCTCTGAGACAAAGTCGAAGGTTGTACCTAGACTGATGCTCCTAGAAGAGGTCAGATGTGTGCAGATTACTTTGGATAAACCCTGCTCATCTTCTCGGGTTTCCATAGAGATGGCATGATGCTTTCGCGGGGCTCCCAAGTATTCGATTAGGTGGACAGGATAGTACGACATTTCGAAAGTGGGAAGACGTCTGAGAAGGCGAGCCTTCGTTTGCTTGTTGCGAGATGGGGGAGCAAAGAAGGAAGTGGATTGTCTTAAGGTCTAGTGGTGGTTGCAGCAACTGGAGCGTGCTTAAGACTGTAGATGAATAATAATAATCTCCGACTTGGAGAGAATGATGGGGAACTGCCCCGTATATATACTATATTTTCGCTGCTGCCCTATCCTCGATTGTCAGGTGAAGGCTGATGTTGGCGAGAGTTGCCTTCGGCAGAGTTGGTTCCAAGAATATCCTCCTGTTTCATTTCAGCCTATTACAAAGTTGGAACAACCCGTCGCAGAATCGCGGCCCTGTTTCGACGTTTAGCAGCGTCTAGGTTAGGCGATGAGTGGTAATTTCCTGATCCCTCGATTACGGCCAGATTTTTGAGAGTGGATGAAGGATGCTTAAAGCGCTGCGAATGATGCTGCTGTTCTGGTCTGATTTTTGCTCTGCTTGAATTATATTGGTTGGTCGGCCCAGACGGGGTCTTCCATCTCCTATGTACAGTCGCAAATATCACGCCCCACCTGAATGCCACTTGAAGCGCTCATGCGCACTGTCACGCCGGGTCCCTAGGCGGCTCAGCGGCTACCTGGAGCGCTAACATTTTTTCTTTTCTCTTCTTCTTTCTTCCCGTAGCTGGCTCACCAACGACAAGCACTTTCCCAGTTCTCAACAAAAACAACATTGTCACTTGGGGTAAAATCCATCATGCCCAAGGCAGCGCCATACGATGTCCTGTTTGTGGACCGGTCTCACAACTATCCCGATCCTCTGCCGACTCCAAATGACATCGATGGCTCCGAAGTCTTGCTCAACCAGTCCACCGGCTCTCGCCTCATAAAGATGCAGCAGAGATTCGTCATCAAGTTCGGCATTCATGTCCACCCCATCGAGGCCCATAACATGCTGTACGTGGCAAAGTCCACGACGGTGCCGGTCCCCAAGGTCTACGCCATCTACCAACGTCGAGAGAAACAGAGCGTCGTCACATATATCGTCATGCAATATGTGCCGGGCACGACGCTTCTAAACTTGTGGGGCAGCCTGGACCAGGCTCGCAAAACCGCCATCGCCAGGACCCTTCGGACCTACTTCCATCAGCTCCGGCAACTGCAGCACCCGGGCTACTTCGGCAACATTGCTGGCGGACCGCCACTCGACGACATGTTCTCGGCGACGCAGGGTGCCCACGAGGTCAAGACATCGTTTGCAACCGAGGACGAACTGATAGACTGCATTATTCGGATATACCTCCTCGAAACCGGCGAGCGGATGGCCCACAAGACTCGGTATTACCAACATGTCCTGTCGACTGTCCTTCGCGGCGATGGCTCTCCCGTCTTCACCCACAACGACTTCCAGAGAAAGAACGTCATGGTGCAGCCCGATGGGACGCTAATCATTATCGACTGGGAGTTTGCGTCGTGGTATCCGACCTACTGGGAATATTCGACGGCTACATATGCGAACGGTGGTTGGAACGATGATTGGCACGAATACGTGCGCATGGCCTTGGACGAATACCCAAACCAGTCCCTTTGGTTGTCAAGCATGAAGCATGAAATGTGGACCTGAGATGGCCGACGATGGCTGGCGAGACCGGATGAATGACGAGGGTTGTTGATCAGCAGTTGAGGTAGTCCGCCGAATCGAATTCCGAAACGGCGCATCGCCTTACGGGCCTTACCCGGATCCAGCCTGCTCTGCAACTGGGCCAGCTCTGATGTGCAGGCACCAACAGAGTCGACCAGTCTCCGCGACGGTCGCGAGCGCTTAACTACCCGGGCCATCAAGAAGATGCCGAACTCCTTGGAGCGTTGTGCCTAGGTCGTATACCCGGCTTCAGAGGCGTGTGGTGTCGGCCCTAGCATTGCCGACGGCAGTGGAGTAATCGAGGCAGAGGACGGCGACCTTGGCGGACAGGTCGATGATTGCGATGACGCTTGCGGCGAGTCCCACCGCGCCTCAGCCATAGTACGCGATAACGTACTGATAGTTAGGAAGTAGTTTTCGAGGGAGTCAAGCTTGCGTTTCCACAGCCCGAGATGATGAGGGAGGATACGAGCAACAGTACTAAGGTGAGTGCCCAACGAGGCTGTGGCGTGGCTGAGTTGCGACTTGGACTTCCGCCGAGGAGGCAGAAGCTCTTTCGTGCATTCCGCAATGATTGGCCCGACACAGTACAAGCTATTTTGGGAGAGACGCAACGGCTGATGGTAAAAATGAGCACAAGAGTTTGTTCGATGGAGGCGCTCGCTCCCGTCCATGTCCATGTCCGCAGTCGGCGGTCTCCTCTCCTAGCGCTGCTGTGGGGCATAGCGCGTCGGGTGGAGAGTAGCAGGCAGAAGCGACGGTTGATTTGGTGGGAGTGTCGGACCAATCGAATTTGGCTATCGGGAGAACATCACTGGCACACTTCTATTTTCACAGGAGAGGCAAACCGGTCGCGGTTTGCGCAAAAAGAGCCTTGAGGAACGAAGTTTGATATGTCTGATTACAACTTCCTTATTAGTATCCAAGGTTCGAAAGTTAGGTATTGAGGGATGGGCTGCAGGGAGACGCGGGCTTAGTTAATCAGCACATAATATCGCTCGGGGTCATGCCTAGAATGTCTCATATTGCGAATGATTACTGGCTGAGATGGAGAAATGAGGCGTTGAGGAAATATTCTATTATGATGTATGCTCTAATTTCCACCGAAATAAGTATCTGATGTTATCTAAATCTTTAAGCAGTATTCTATCTATATTCAGGCTATTAGTATATAGGGCGTCTCTCTCACTTCTTTAAATCATCACACCATCTGTTATAACTACTTACTAGTCCGTCTCGAGGTCTTCTGGAGCAAGACAAAGGTGTTTATGTTCCCGCTCAAAATTATCCAGAGTCTGGTTAGTACCGCTAATTAGGCTATTGTGGCCGGGGTGCCGATTGCAATAGCATTAGAAGTCGATATTTAAAAGGGAATATACCATCTATTCTTTGCCTCTTCAACGCCTTAAATAATGGATTAATTGCAATGCCATAGGTATCTCCAGTCAAGGGTTCTCTTCTAGACTTCAGTAGCTTGATAACAGCCTCATGCCCTTGGTCTTTAGTATTAATCCATTTCCAAAAGCAACTGGATGATAGACTCATGCCCTCGTTCGGCAGCCCACAAGAGCGGGGTCCAGCCACTATGCTCTTTAGCATCAACATCAACTGCGCCCGTTTCGAGAAGCAGTTTGACAATAGTATTATGCCCATTCTTAGCGGCCAATAAGAGTGGTGTTCTTCCACTGTAGTCTTTAGCATTAACGTCAGCTCTTCCTGTTTCGAGAAGCAGCTTGACGACAGACCCATGCCCTCGCTCGGCAGCCCACAAGAGCGGTGTCCGTCTAAAGTCAGGATCTTTGGCATCGACTTCAACTCTGCCTGTGTTGAGAAGCATCTTGACCATAGCATCGTGTCCTCGTTCGGCAGCCAACGAGAGTGGTGTCCTGCCATTGTGGTCTTCAGCATCAACTTCAACTCTGCCTATTTCGAAAAGTAACCTAATAATAGCCTCGTGCCCTCCTTCGGCGGCCAACCAGAGCGGGGTCCTGCCACTGTCATCTTTAGCACCAACTTCGACTCTGCCTGTTTCGAGAAGTAGCTTGACAACAGACCCATGCCCTCGCTCAGCAGCCCACAAGAGCGGTGTCCATTTACCGTCAGGATCTCTAGCATCGATATCGACATTTCCCGTTTCGAGAAGCAGCTTGACGATAGTATGATGCCCGTAACAGGCAGCCGACCAGAGAGGTGTATTACCACTGTAGTCCTTAATATCAACTTCGACTTTGCCTGTTTCAAGAAGTAGCTTGGCGACAGACCCATGCCCTCGCTCGGCAGCCCATAAGAGCGGTGTCCTTCCAAAGCTAGTATCTCTAGAATTGACATTAACATTTCTCATATTGAGAAGCTGCTTGACAATAGCCTCATGCCCATTCTGAGCGGCCAACGAGAGTGGCGTGTGGCCAAGTACAGTGTCTCTAATATCTATACTGACCTTTCCCGTATCGAGAAGCAGCTTGACCATAGTCTCATGCCCTTTCTCGGTGGCTAACCAGAGCGGGGTCCTGCCACTGTCGTCTTTAGTATCGACGTCGACCTTGCCCGTATCGAGAAGCAGCTTGACCATAGTCTCATGCCCTTGCTCGGTGGCTAACCAGAGCGGGGTCCTGCCACTATCGTCTTTAGTATCGACGTCGACCTTGCCCGTATCGAGAAGCAGCTTGACCATAGTCTCATGCCTTCGCTCGGTGGCCAACCAGAGCGGGGTCCTGCCACTGTCGTCTTTAGCATCGACGTCGACCTTGCCTGTATCGAGAAGCAGCTTAGCGACAGCCTCATGCCCTTTCCTGGCGGCCCACGAGAGCGGTGTCCAGCCACTCTTATCTTGAGCATCGACGTCGACCTTGCCTGTATTGAGAAGCAGTTTGACAATAGCCTCATGCCCATTCTCGGCGGCCCAGGGGAGCGGTGTCTGGCTACTTGTATCTTGACCATCAACATCGACTATTCCCGTATCGAGAAGCAGCTCGAAGGGACCCTCAGGAACGGCGGCCCACGACAGCGGCGTCCGGCCCTCCTGATCTCTAATATTAATGTCGACTTTGCCCGTATCGAGAAGCCGCTTGACAACAGCCTCATGCCCATTCTGAGCGGCCAACAAGAGCGGTGTCCATCCACTCTTATCTTGAGCATCAACATCGACCTTGCCTGTGTCGAGAAGTAGCTTGACAATGGTCTCATGCCCATCCTGAGCGGCCAACGAGAGTGGCGTGTGGCCAAGTACAGTGTCTCTAATATCTATACTGACCTTTCCCGTATCGAGAAGCAGCTTGACCATAGTCTCATGCCCTTTCTCGGCGGCCCACGAGAGCGGTGTTCGGCCACGCTTATCTTGAGCATCAACATCGACCATGCCCGTGTCGAGAAGCAGCTTGACAATAGTCTCATGCCCTTTCTCGGCGGCCCACGAGAGCGGTGTTCGGCCACGCTTATCTTGAGCATCAACATCGACCATGCCCGTGTCGAGAAGCAGCTTGACGATAGCCTTATGTCCCTGCTCGACTGCATACGATAGTGCGGTTCTGCCGTAGCTGTCCGCCAGGTCCACAACATTCTTACTGGCCAGTATTTGTACGCCATCTATCATCCCGAAGTATGCCACCAGGTGCAGTCCAGTTATTTGCCTTGGAACGTTTTGACTGTATTGTTGTAACCAGTGACCCGGTTCAGCCATCATTGCTTGGCTCGATGACTCGACTTTTGTGTCAGATTCAAGAAAGTCAATGACCTCCTGGCATAGAGTTGGAGCTTCGCGAGCATGATCGCCCCAGAAGTGTGCAGAGTAGTCGTAGAACGGGTTCAACCTCATCCGCTCGTTAAATTTTTCATCGGTCTCACAGAACCCGCTCTCAAAGACATTGAATGACAAGTAGGTAACACAAGTGGTCGTGATATCAGCCTCTGCGCTCGGAAACCATTTTCCTCGGGTTCTGTCAAAGTATTGCTGTGTCGTGTAGTGCACTAGTCGAATGGTGTTGCTTTGTTCGTCGATCGTAACAAGCCCAACACACACTGCAACCATATCTTCAATCTCTGGCAACGCATCTTCATCAAACTCCGTCGTGCCAACTTCTATAGCGAGAGCATGCCGAAGCTCTACAGTAGTAAGCGGCCTCCTTGCGCAGGTAATCCATGATAGGATCTGCCTAGCCAAGCCTCGGTGGTCTGGTACCTGCTTCTCGATTCGTTCCATCGCCGCGTCATACGCATGGCCGTACGCATTCGATCCACTTGGTAGCTTCGCAAGAGCGCTATGGACCGCTTTGACCGATATCTTGCCGATTAGAGATTCAAGATGAAGCTGTGCAAGGAGAAACCTATGCGCATTAGTGTCCTGTTCTTATTCTCAGAAAACGGCTACTCACATCCCTCCCACCGAGTCAACTATCCCGGTTATGACCTCCTCTTGAAGTTCTGGGCTACGACGGACGAAAGCTGGCAATCGTGACATGTGATTGTGGAGGTATCTCCGCACGTCCTCATCTGCAGCACGGATTTCCAGTAAAATATTGCCTTTGAATAACTCCGTGATATGGGGGATAAATCTCGAAGTCGTAAAGACGTTGGCTACAGACTTGGCTTGAAGCTCGAAGATCTCCGCTAAGAACCTTGTCTGACTGCCATCGGATGCTCGACATTCGTCAAGTGCATCAATGAGAATAAAGACTCTTGAATACAGTTTGGCTGTAGATTGGAGGGTCCTCGAAATTTCCTCCAATAATGGTCGCGCCTGCTTATCCTTGTGCTGGTCGTAGAGCGACTTCACGCTCTCTGGGAAAGTCGGCAGGCTTTGAACTAGCTGCTTAAGAAGACTCGCCAGAAGTTCCTTAGCCGTTTCCTCGTCTTGGCGCCGGAAGTTGCAATAAACGTATGCAATACCGACATTCCTGTTATCTCGGAATAGTGTTTCCAAATTGTCGACCACGATCGAGGTAAGAATTGTTTTACCAGCGCCTGGAATACCTGGACAGAACAAAGTTTGACCGCCGGTGTCACGCCAGGTGCGGAACTGTACTGTATCAAGGAGCCATTGACCAGTTCCCGGCTGTCGCCTTCCGAGATAGTCACTTTGCTGAGGACTGTAGTTGACTGGCGTGAGCCAATCCAAGATATCTTTATGCTGCTGTGTCCGCTGATGATGGATAATTATGTCAGCTTTCCTAGATGTACCTGAGACCTCGTACTGTAAATCTGCTAGGCCGATTACATATTAGCAATCAAGCCACAATAAGAAGCTAGGAAGCTTCATGCCTATATGATTGGGATGGTTTGTAGACTACTTAGACTGACCAGAGATGATTTCGCTAATCTTCTTCTCAGCTTCAACCTGAGTTGGCGCAATACGACAGAGCAGATCTTTGGCGTACGCTGCAGCTGTCATCGCTGCGTATCCTTGCCACTCTTTGTTTTTGTGCGAATCAGAGTAGTCGCAGATGCCGCGGATAACGAGACAGGGAAAGTGGTTCATCAAACCAGCCGCTTCCATTTCGAAACAGAGAACGCCCTTCTTTGCTGCAAGTGTATCCCGAGTCAAAGCATCCTTCATTAGTCTGTTCGACGAAGCGATCAGACCATAGTGAATCGACGGATTGTCTTTGTATTCAGTACGATTGGGTCGTACTATTAAGGTCGATGGGTCATCGCCACAAGCTGTCGCGCAGCTAGACTGGTCATCTGGCGGGTGAACTGCTCCAGGCTGATATAGTCGATCGGTGCTCGACTCGGGCCGGCCAAACTCTCTCTTGAGTCTCGGGTTCTTAGTCAAAATGTTGTTGATAGATGTATCAATCTGGTGCCCTTTGCGCTTGTACTGCGTCATAAGTCCGTTCACCGCTGTTCGCAAAACCGTGGGTGGCTGATTCAAGAATCCCGTCTCCTGAAATTCCTGGCCTTGCACGGCCTTTCCAAAATCGTACTGGAACACCGCGCCCTTGCCATTGCTAGAAGCACTCACCACGACGTCCCCAAGGCGGATGTCTTGCTTGGAGTTTGGTGCACCACCGCCGATACCGACCATCAGGCCGACTCTGACGTTGGGAAAGCTGTGAAGCATATCTTTCACGACGCCAGCAGCGGATGATATCCCATATTCGCCATGCGGAAGAACTGCAATGACGACATTGTGTTTCCCGATCTTGCCCAGAGTGTAGTCGTTGTTGTCGTGTGTGGACACGGCTTCAGGTCCTTTGTGTTCTTCATCGAGAAAGACTTGCGCAGCAACATACTCAGTTGCAATAGCGCAAATCCAGCCAACTGTATAGTCATATGGATTGGACATAGTCTGTAGGAGCAACGGAGACGTGAAGGAGCTATGTTGTTGTCGTGAAGATTGAGCCTAAGCTTTAACCTTAACGCAGCCTGATTCAGTCATTACGATTAGGCGCCCGGCAATAACCCCGCCTATTAGGCAGCAATGTACCGACGGAAATGAATTAATGCCCCACACGAACGGTCGGGTTTGGAGAAGTGAGGGGCAACATTTTATTCTGTCGCCATTTTCACTTAGTTTCGGGGGATGTTCGTCACCAGGCGCTCCGGATCAGTCGATATGATGCTCCATTTGGGCCGCCGATGGATGATATTCTCCTAGCTTCCGAGGCGGCGACGAGGTTCATTGAATCGGAGGGCAGGAAAGGCAGTCAGAGATAAAACGATGACCAATAGCGAAGCGAGCTAAAGCAACCAATTGAGTTGAAGGAGGGGAAAAGAAGAGGGACTTTGCGCCAATCAGAAGGAGGGACAAGCTGCACCAATCAGGAGGAGGTCTTAAGTTGAGGGCGCGGCATAGACCTTTCGTCTCTTCGTTCGTTCCTCTCTTCGTTCCTCAAGGCAAAGCGCTTAAGTTGAAGGGCAACAGCATAAGACCTTTCGTCACTTCGTTCGTTCCTCTCTTCGTTCCTCAAGGCAAAGATGATTTTAGGCGAATTAGAAGGCGCGAACGGCTGCACCAATCAGAGCGAAGCTCTTAAGTTCGGGGGCAACGGCATAAGACCTTTCGTTCCTCAAGGCATTTGTTAGCCACAGCAGGGTGATTCGGCGGAATCAAACTAGCCACATGACTCTTGAAGTCTACGGGGTGGAAAATATCAATCCATCAGGTGGAATCAAGAACGATAAAAATATTTTCTGGTGACCGGACAGCGCACGATATTTCCAAGAGTCCAGCAATTCAGCCATTCAGCTGTTTGAGTGCAGGAAGCAGGTAGTGGGAAGTCCCTCGAGGGCTCTCCGCCTCATATACACAGGGCAGATCGAACGAGGCCTTTATGCCTTAGGCAGAAGTCCTGGTGCGTGCATTGACCGCCGCTGTGCATTACGTTCGCCCAACAGAGTGAGTCGAGCACGATACGAGCCCCACATTCCATTGGGGGATGATCCAATGCTAACTGGCTCGTGCAGAATACCGATGTAATTCCGATGCATGGAGTACCCTAAGTACCGATCGGGAAGGATCAAACTAGATCACCGCGGGACACCTATGATCCAGGACGATCCATCACGGGATCATCAGAGATCAATAAAGGGACATGAGCCACCATAATACCAGGAAAAGTGCACAATATAGACCCTACATATTCCCGTGGACTAGGCCATACGCTCCTCGGCTATCAATGTAACTATAGTAGGGCAATAAATACCCGCGAAGGATATATATCCGGTTGGGTTTGGAGGCGGCGAAGATCTTGGTGATGCCATGTCCGTGACATCACCGGCGATAGCGCCTAGTCTAAAAGGCATCGACACGCACGCCCACATTCTCTCCTTTCCTCCTTTCCCTTCAAACAGACACCTACAAGGACGCCCACAACTGCCTAAGGCATACCTACCCTCAAGGCGCCACCTACGTGGTCCAGAAACGCGCATGCTAGGCTTTACAAGACGGTGCTTGTCAGCCTCGTTCCTTCACAAGACAAGTGCTTGTGTCGGGCTCTTTCTTTGACAAGGCAAGTGCCTTGCGTTTCAGGCTCGTTCCGAAAGGCATTAGCGGACCCCGTAGGGGACCGGTCTCCTATCATGCCTGAGGAACGTAAGTGACGAAGGTTCTTCCTTCCGCGCCCTCCGTCCCACCCCTAACCGCACGGATCGCTTGACGATCTACCCTTCTAAGCCACATTTCATGTGCCACGAACTTTGGGCCACCTTGGGAAAACGAGCCACATCTTAGTGGCCACTCAGCCACATTCCTTGTCTCATCTCTTTTCTGACAACCTGGCAATTTTGATGCACGGCGCCGAATCGCCTTACCCGCGCCAGGCCGATCGGATATGGAGATGGCAAGACCGGAATTCAGATCGCGGAGTAGAGCCGCCGGTATAAGACCCCCGAAGTAGACTACTCCATCGCCGTCGATCCGGGAACATGGTAAAACCCGACCGTCTCCATCCATTGCTGGCTTGTTTTATTCGAGGTGGAGGGCATGGCGACGGGCACCTTCGCCAATCATTTACCACAGCGCTGTCAGCCTGCCGCAGCCCGCAGCCCGTCGCACGCAAGCGCCGAGGGCGTTATGGCCCCGAACATTCTGTAACCGGCCAGAGCCTGATCTCGTGCATAGAAGGCCCCGCTCCGAAACCTCAACTCTTGACCTTGCCATCATCGTCCGTCTAACCCGTTCCCGTCTGCTTCTCAAGCGGTCGCATGCCCCTCGACACTCTCATTTCCCTCCTCCCTCCTCCCGATACCGAACACCGACCATGCCAAACCCTCAGAGCTACACCATCGGCTGGATCTGCGCCATCACCACCGAGTCTGTCGCGGCCCGGGCCTTCCTCGACGAAGAACACGACGGGCCTAGCCACGTTGCCCAGCACGACAACAACAGCTATATCCTCGGCAACATCGGCAGTCACAACGTCGTCATTGCTGTTCTACCCGATGGAGAGTACGGCACAACCTCGGCGGCGGCGGTAGCCCGGGATATACTTCACAGCTTCCCAAACGTGCGCATTGGGCTGATAGTCGGCATCGGGGGCGGCGCGCCCGGCTCGAAGCACGATATCCGGCTCGGCGATGTAGTTATCAGCAGCCGCGACGGCGGGAAGGGCGGCGTATTCCAATACGACTTTGGCAAGACCATTCAGAACCACGTCTTTCAAGAGACAAGCTTTTTAGACTAACCACCAACGGTACTACGAACAGCTGTCAGTGCCCTGAGGGGTACATACAAGATAAGGGGCCACCAGCTTGCAGACGAGGTGGAAAGGGCCTTAAAAGGCATCAAGAAGCGGAAGAAGTACACGCGGCCTCCTCCAACAAGCGACAGACTCTACAAGCCCAATGCTGTGTATCCGGAAACCTCTGACGACTGCAACATGGTGTGCAATGCGGCATACCTTGTGGCTCGCGACGCACGAGATGAGGAAGATGACAATCCCGCCATCCACTATGGACTAATCGCCAGCAGAAACCAACTGATAAAGGATGCACACATCCGGGACAAGCTGGCAGCGGACAAGGGCGTCCTCTGCTTCGAGATGGAGGCAGCTGGGCTGATAAACTACTTTCCCTGTCTTGTAATCCGCGGCATATACGACTACTCCGATTCGCATAAGAACGAGGATTGGTAAGGCTTTGCGGCTATGATGGCGGCGGCATATGCGAAGGACCTTTTGCGGCAGATCCCGCCAAACAAGGTCGAGGCAGAAAGGCCGATTGCCGCGGCGCTCGATGCCAGTCAGTATCACAGATCCAGTTCACCAAACGCTAGCTAAATCTGAACAGTTCAAGAAGATTTGAAGCGTATCAATCAGACAATGACTGAAACGAGGGCTGCAGTAGAGACCATGCATTCCCACCAAACATACGTAGAAGTAGTCCATCTGCCTGTTAGTCCATAATCTGACGGCTCACACTAGGGTTCTTCTTTACGACCTTCAAGAAGGAGTAAAGGAACTGAAGATCCATACCAAGGAGGACCTATCAGTTGCCCGCCAACCCCATTTCGTTGTACCGTTTCCCTCTGACCCAGACTTTGTGGAGCGAACGACGATCTGGATAAGAATCAAAGAGTAATATACTGGCCCTGCGAGGCGCATGGCTCTTGTAGGCATGGGCGGCTTTGGGTATATCGTGCTCGATCTGTTGAATTTTGCGCTGATAGTTGCGCAGCAAGTCCCAGCTAGCTATTTAATTCGCCCATCAAGTCCGGGCCGACTCTCCTGACACCAGCGTCTTCTGGGTCCACGGAGGCAGCAAAGCAACTTTTGAAGAGTCATATCACTCTATTGCAGACGTGCTTGCACTGCCCCGTCGCCATGAGCCCGGCATCAACGTCCTGGCGCTGGTCCGTGACTGGCTGCAGCGGGAGGACATGACTCCATGGTTCGTGATTCTCGACAACGCAGATGATGTAGAGATACTTTTCACTATGGAGGACGATACGAAGGTGCCGACAGCAGCCTATCTGCCCAAGACGGGCAATGGCAAGATCCTGGCCACTTCGTGCAGCTGGGACGCCGCGGAGAAGCTGACAGGCAGCGGCGAAGCGATCCTGAGGGTCCCGACAATGGAAGAGTCACAAGCGCTGCAGCTTTTCCAAAATAAGCTCGGTCACGATGCCGACGAAGCCGTGGTATTGGAGCTGATTCGCACCCTTGACTACATCCCGCTGGCCGTGAACTAAGCAGCGGCGTACATCTGCAAACGACGCGACCGGGTAACCATCCAGTCGTATTTGGACGAATTCCGGAAGAGCGAAAAACGGAAGGGCACTCTGCTTCGCAGCGACAGAGGCGATCTTCGGCGCTACGAAGGCGTGTCGAACTCTGTGGTGGTGACGTGGCAGGTGACTTTCGAGCAGATCCGGCGAGAGCAGCCACGCGCGGCCAACCTTCTCTCGCTGATGAGCTGCTTCCACGCGCAGAACATTCCCGAGTATATGTTGCACGACTACAATAGCGACCCTCTAAACTCTGAAATAACTGATAACGACGATGACGACGATAACGACGATGACGACGATGACGACGATGACGACGATGACGACGATGACGACGATGACGACGATGACGACGATGACGACGATGACGAAGAGGACGATGACGAAGAGGACGATGAAGATTTCGAGGACGACATGGATGTGCTCCTAGGCTACTCACTTGTTACTCCTACCATTATGCCTAGATTCTGTGAGATGCACTCCCTGGTGCAATTTTGCACGCGGGTTTGGATATCGGAGTTTGGGGATTGAAGACGATGGAAGAAGCTCTTCATTCAATCAGCGTCGCAGCATTTCCCGTCAGGGGCCTTTGAAACGTAGGGGGCCTGTCAGACGCTGCTGCCGCATATCCAACCGTGGTTAGATAAAGAGCCGTCAGAAGAGAGCAATCGGTTTGCATAGAGTGAGTTGCTGACGAACATATGCTGGTACCTGCTTATAGTAGGGGAATATGCCAGGGCGGAGGAGCTTGCACAAGATGCTGTAAGGGTTCGACTGGAACTTCTTGGCAGAGATAACCCCTCAACGCTGAGCAGCATAGCCAACCTGGCGTCGACGTACAGGAACCAGGGCCGGTGGGAGGAGGCCGAGAAGCTATTTGTAGAGGTAATAGAAACGAGCAAGATAAAGCTCGGGGCCGACCATCCCTCAACGCTGATCAGCATAGCCAACCTGGCGTCGATATACAGGAACCAGGGCCGGTGGGAGGAGGCCGAGAAGCTGTTTGTAGAGGTGATAGAAACAAGCAAGACGAAGCTCGGGGCCGACCATCCCTCGACGCTGACCAGCATGAGCAACCTGGCTTTCACACGGTATGGCCTGGGCAAACCCGATGAGGCCTGTGCCTTGATGCAAAGCTGTGTTCTCTTGCGTCAGCAACGGCTAGGCGATGACCACCCAGATACCATCTCATCTAGGGAAGCCCTTGAATATTGGCAAGCTGAGCATCAGGAGGATAGTTCAGGCTGGGAAACGGAGACGTCAACCGTTTAGCACCTCATAATACTACTATTTTTACGGTGATATATAATCTCCTACCTCTGTCAAGTGTTAGATCAACATGCCGCTTCCTCTAGTCTCGACTTGAAAAGGTCAGTCAACGAAGATCACCTAGCTATGAAGCCCCTGCAACGTCCGTGCGCTGCATCCCAGCTACGCTCGAGCTACTATAAGAGCTGTGCGTTCCGTCGCAGCATCAGCCACGATGCCCATCTGCCTAGACCCCTGACGAGAGATCGTAGAACTTGGTCCATCGCGCGATCAGAAAGCCTCGTTCCGAAGGTCTGATGGCGGGCCCGGCCTGGTTGCCTGGGTCACCCAAAACGGAAATAGTGGGGCGGGTGAAGGGTAAGCTCATGCCGGTGAAGTTCACCCAGCTCGTTCTGTGGCGTCCTTCTGTGGCTGCTTTTCGTGGCTGCCATGAACCGTAATGCCACCTGAGTGTTTGGAGGCAGACCTGCTTGGGACGTTGCCGTCGTGAACGGAAATTGGCAGATGCAGCCCGACGGCTGGGCATCGCAAGGGCGGGTGTCCTCTTTGGGACCTCGCTGACGGCCTCTGTAAGCTACTCAGTACCTGTTTAAAGTGAGGCGTCGCGGGTCAACCTCGGTACTTCGGCTACATGGCGGCCTCACCTGTGGAGGAAATCCACCATTCACCAGGTCGACAACCGCAAAGCCCAGCGTGCACTGCCTTCCATACGTCTGCCTGAGCGATCGACGGAATGGAGCCTCCGCCTCCTACGCCTGGACGCGCAATCCGAACACTCATCCTTCTTATCGTCAAAATAAGACATCACAAGTTCTCACGATGGTTCTGGAGAAAGCAGTCCGGCCTTTTCCACATCTTCAATATCTGCATCAAGACCAAGCCAGACGAGAACCTGGCTGAAGCCTACGCAATGCGATTTGTTGCCAGTCAGACGTCCATTCCCGTGCCGAAGGTGTATTACGCGTTCACTTATAAAGGTTCCTCATATGCCTTTCGGAACGAAAGGTTCTTTCTTCCGTGCCCTCTTCCGCGCCCACCTTTCTAAGCTCGGGCCACTTAGTGGTCCGTGCGAGCCGCCTGCACCACAACCTCTTCACCAGGATCCCCGCGCCACTTTCCCCCCCCCCGGCGCCACTATTTTTGAGCCACAGCGCGCACGGCAATCTGCAGCCCACCAACATGCCCAGCTACCTGCAAGTTGGTCAATTGAGCGTTAAGTGCCTATACGTTCAATTCATAGAAATAAATTCTGCTATTCTAGGGATGATCTCCGGTAAAATAAAATCTATGTATCCATCTATACTGGCCGATATCGAGGCATCAAAAGGAGCAAAAGGAGCAAAACGTGGCCTGTTAGAGAGGAATTCTAGGTGTAGAAGCGGTCATAAATACAAGAAACCTGCGCTAGTCCACGTTAGGAGCACCGCCGTCGTGCCGTTTCAGCCCTATTCCATCACATACTGTCATCTCTCCCTAGTCTTCATCGTTTCCTTGAAAAAATTGCCCAATTACATTGATAACCCGTTCTCGTTTCGCATTGTCGACTCTCCCCCTTTTAAGTGTCCAACAAGTCCATCGCTTGGTCTATGGTTATGGACATGTTGACTTGCGTTTTCCTTGTATCTTATTTCCCATCGGTCGGTGCCTATCTTAATCTCCACGACACAGGAGACCAGTCCCTGCGGGCCCGCCAATGCCTTTCGGAACGAGCCTTTCGGATCCTCTGATTTCCCTGTGGCTCTTCGGTCATGGCTCGGTATATGGACGCAGCCACGGTGAGAGGGGTATGCGGCTAGAGTTCATGCAGTATGATGCTGGGGTGAACTCACAAAGCATCGGTCAGTTGCTGCGGCCAGGAAGAGGAAACTTGTTACGAGAGAACTGAGAATACGAATGTACAGCTGCGAGCTGAGCAAGGTTACCCCTACTTATTTGTTTTAGGAATTGCAGGCGTAGCGGCGCAGTGTCTGTTTCGTTCTGTTAGATTGGACCATGCACCTGGCATCAGACCGGGTGGGTCATGTGATCAGTTGCCTAGTATTTTGCCACAAGGCTTAGGAATCAGCTTCTAGCTGATTCTACACAGCACAGAACGAGGTATATAAAGCTTGCTCTGATACCTCAGAACAAGAAGAGAAAGATAGACATATATATATTGTCAGATGCGAAATTGGCTTCCTCTTCATGGTAACTCTTCTCAGAAGTGAGCACGGACCATGTCTGATGTATACCTGGAGCTACATCATAGTACATGCTTACGGCCAGAATTGGCCATAAATCTCATACCTTTTGGGCTTACCCAATGTAGCTTTAAGTAAATCAATGTATATAGGGAATCCAGAAATTCACGTGACTGGCCTCACAGTGTGACTCTGACACAGGTACAAATTCTTCCTTCTCCCAGGCCCCAAAGGGAAATCTTGGTCCCCCGTTCGTCAGCCGTCATCACATCCATTCACTGGCTGTGTTACAGTAGGGTTCAGGTTCACCGTCAGTGCAGTGTCAGAAACTTTACCAAATGTGGACCAAACGTGGCTGACACACAGTGTGTGGCTGGTGCCAATAAGTCCATGTGGGCTGTGAGTCATAAACAGTACGTTAGATGCCTCAGGCATCTAGCGCTAACATTGTCGTCCTTTGGAAGGGAGTACGTCCAGAAAGCGTCTCAAGTGTGATCCGGCAACTCGATGATTGGCGGCGAGACAGGAGGGCGGCATGGCTGGACTCAACATCGCGTAAGCTCATCTATCAGATGCGGATCTTTGCATGAAGTACGGCTGTGGAAGCAGGAGGGCACTGTGAGGCTGAGATGCAATTAGCGTTGCGTCATGCCGCGTCCTCGCCCATTTAAGGCGTCCAGGGCGCAGCGATCTCGAGATAACATACTCGTCAACGAAGTTCCCACGCTCTTTCCAAGAAGTCTACATTTCCTCCCCGGTAGGGGCCTCTGCGCCTACACAATGGCATCTCTTGTCTCTCTTGACAGTCAGGTCTTCTGGCATCCTCCAGTTACAGCGCGCACGGAGAATGCTGCCTCACAAAACTTTGGCATCCACCACCACAGCAGAGCTGCATCAACCTCCTACAGCCCCGTCCGCATCACAAACTTCTATAGCAGCACAAACAGGACAAAGCCGTTCCTTAGTTAATAGGCTGTGGACTTTAAATAATGTAATATCAATCTCCTCTAACGACGAATCTAACGTAGACGACGGCGACGAAGGTAATGCTAATGACTGTTTATATGAGCTGGAGGTGGGTGAGTTGCATCTAGATGACTTACTCCCTTTAATCTCGGTAATTATATTATTAATTGCTACTATATAATAAAATTATATAGAGGATATAGATAAGTAGTAATAAGGTTATATAATTAGGTAAAGTATTAATAAATCTATTAAAAAAATCTAACTAAGATAATAAATAATATTAAGATTGCTAGTAATATTAATAGCTTAATTTCTTTAATTAAAGAAATTAAGCTATTAATATTACTAGCAATCTTAATATTATTTATTATCTTAGTTAGATTTTTTTAATAGATTTATTAATACTTTACCTAATTATATAACCTTATTACTACTTATCTATATCCTCTATATAATTTTATTATATAGTAGCAATTAATAATATAATTACCGAGATTAAAGGGAGTAAGTCATCTAGATGCAACTCACCCACCTCCAGCTCATATAAACAGTCATTAGCATTACCTTCGTCGCCGTCGTCTACGTTAGATTCGTCGTTAGAGGAGATTGATATTACATTATTTAAAGTCCACAGCCTATTAACTAAGGAACGGCTTTGTCCTGTTTGTGCTGCTATAGAAGTTTGTGATGCGGACGGGGCTGTAGGAGGTTGATGCAGCTCTGCTGTGGTGGTGGATGCCAAAGTTTTGTGAGGCAGCATTCTCCGTGCGCGCTGTAACTGGAGGATGCCAGAAGACCTGACTGTCAAGAGAGACAAGAGATGCCATTGTGTAGGCGCAGAGGCCCCTACCGGGGAGGAAATGTAGACTTCTTGGAAAGAGCGTGGGAACTTCGTTGACGAGTATGTTATCTCGAGATCGCTGCGCCCTGGACGCCTTAAATGGGCGAGGACGCGGCATGACGCAACGCTAATTGCATCTCAGCCTCACAGTGCCCTCCTGCTTCCACAGCCGTACTTCATGCAAAGATCCGCATCTGATAGATGAGCTTACGCGATGTTGAGTCCAGCCATGCCGCCCTCCTGTCTCGCCGCCAATCATCGAGTTGCCGGATCACACTTGAGACGCTTTCTGGACGTACTCCCTTCCAAAGGACGACAATGTTAGCGCTAGATGCCTGAGGCATCTAACGTACTGTTATGACTCACAGCCCACATGGACTTATTGGCACCAGCCACACACTGTGTGTCAGCCACGTTTGGTCCACATTTGGTAAAGTTTCTGACACTGCACTGACGGTGAACCTGAACCCTACTGTAACACAGCCAGTGAATGGATGTGATGACGGCTGACGAACGGGGGACCAAGATTTCCCTTTGGGGCCTGGGAGAAGGAAGAATTTGTACCTGTGTCAGAGTCACACTGTGAGGCCAGTCACGTGAATTTCTGGATTCCCTATATACATTGATTTACTTAAAGCTACATTGGGTAAGCCCAAAAGGTATGAGATTTATGGCCAATTCTGGCCGTAAGCATGTACTATGATGTAGCTCCAGGTATACATCAGACATGGTCCGTGCTCACTTCTGAGAAGAGTTACCATGAAGAGGAAGCCAATTTCGCATCTGACAATATATATATGTCTATCTTTCTCTTCTTGTTCTGAGGTATCAGAGCAAGCTTTATATACCTCGTTCTGTGCTGTGTAGAATCAGCTAGAAGCTGATTCCTAAGCCTTGTGGCAAAATACTAGGCAACTGATCACATGACCCACCCGGTCTGATGCCAGGTGCATGGTCCAATCTAACAGAACGAAACAGACACTGCGCCGCTACGCCTGCAATTCCTAAAACAAATAAGTAGGGGTAACCTTGCTCAGCTCGCAGCTGTACATTCGTATTCTCAGTTCTCTCGTAACAAGTTTCCTCTTCCTGGCCGCAGGCAACTGACCGATGCTTTGTGAGTTCACCCCAGCATCATACTGCATGAACTCTAGCCGCATACCCTCTCACCGTGGCTGCGTCCATATACCGAGCCATGACCGAAGAGCCACAGGGAAATCAGAGGATCCGAAAGGCTCGTTCCGAAAGGCATTGGCGGGCCCGCAGGGACTGGTCTCCTGTGTCGTGGAGATTAAGATAGGCACCGACCGATGGGAAATAAGATACAAGGAAAACGCAAGTCAACATGTCCATAACCATAGACCAAGCGATGGACTTGTTGGACACTTAAAAGGGGGAGAGTCGACAATGCGAAACGAGAACGGGTTATCAATGTAATTGGGCAATTTTTTCAAGGAAACGATGAAGACTAGGGAGAGATGACAGTATGTGATGGAATAGGGCTGAAACGGCACGACGGCGGTGCTCCTAACGTGGACTAGCGCAGGTTTCTTGTATTTATGACCGCTTCTACACCTAGAATTCCTCTCTAACAGGCCACGTTTTGCTCCTTTTGCTCCTTTTGATGCCTCGATATCGGCCAGTATAGATGGATACATAGATTTTATTTTACCGGAGATCATCCCTAGAATAGCAGAATTTATTTCTATGAATTGAACGTATAGGCACTTAACGCTCAATTGACCAACTTGCAGGTAGCTGGGCATGTTGGTGGGCTGCAGATTGCCGTGCGCGCTGTGGCTCAAAAATAGTGGCGCCGGGGGGGGGAAAGTGGCGCGGGGATCCTGGTGAAGAGGTTGTGGTGCAGGCGGCTCGCACGGACCACTAAGTGGCCCGAGCTTAGAAAGGTGGGCGCGGAAGAGGGCACGGAAGAAAGAACCTTTCGTTCCGAAAGGCATATGAGGAACCTTTATAAGTGAACGCGTAATACACCTTCGGCACGGGAATGGACGTCTGACTGGCAACAAATCGCATTGCGTAGGCTTCAGCCAGGTTCTCGTCTGGCTTGGTCTTGATGCAGATATTGAAGATGTGGAAAAGGCCGGACTGCTTTCTCCAGAACCATCGTGAGAACTTGTGATGTCTTATTTTGACGATAAGAAGGATGAGTGTTCGGATTGCGCGTCCAGGCGTAGGAGGCGGAGGCTCCATTCCGTCGATCGCTCAGGCAGACGTATGGAAGGCAGTGCACGCTGGGCTTTGCGGTTGTCGACCTGGTGAATGGTGGATTTCCTCCACAGGTGAGGCCGCCATGTAGCCGAAGTACCGAGGTTGACCCGCGACGCCTCACTTTAAACAGGTACTGAGTAGCTTACAGAGGCCGTCAGCGAGGTCCCAAAGAGGACACCCGCCCTTGCGATGCCCAGCCGTCGGGCTGCATCTGCCAATTTCCGTTCACGACGGCAACGTCCCAAGCAGGTCTGCCTCCAAACACTCAGGTGGCATTACGGTTCATGGCAGCCACGAAAAGCAGCCACAGAAGGACGCCACAGAACGAGCTGGGTGAACTTCACCGGCATGAGCTTACCCTTCACCCGCCCCACTATTTCCGTTTTGGGTGACCCAGGCAACCAGGCCGGGCCCGCCATCAGACCTTCGGAACGAGGCTTTCTGATCGCGCGATGGACCAAGTTCTACGATCTCTCGTCAGGGTCTAGGCAGATGGGCATCGTGGCTGATGCTGCGACGGAACGCACAGCTCTTATAGTAGCTCGAGCGTAGCTGGGATGCAGCGCACGGACGTTGCAGGGGCTTCATAGCTAGGTGATCTTCGTTGACTGACCTTTTCAAGTCGAGACTAGAGGAAGCGGCATGTTGATCTAACACTTGACAGAGGTAGGAGATTATATATCACCGTAAAAATAGTAGTATTATGAGGTGCTAAACGGTTGACGTCTCCGTTTCCCAGCCTGAACTATCCTCCTGATGCTCAGCTTGCCAATATTCAAGGGCTTCCCTAGATGAGATGGTATCTGGGTGGTCATCGCCTAGCCGTTGCTGACGCAAGAGAACACAGCTTTGCATCAAGGCACAGGCCTCATCGGGTTTGCCCAGGCCATACCGTGTGAAAGCCAGGTTGCTCATGCTGGTCAGCGTCGAGGGATGGTCGGCCCCGAGCTTCGTCTTGCTTGTTTCTATCACCTCTACAAACAGCTTCTCGGCCTCCTCCCACCGGCCCTGGTTCCTGTATATCGACGCCAGGTTGGCTATGCTGATCAGCGTTGAGGGATGGTCGGCCCCGAGCTTTATCTTGCTCGTTTCTATTACCTCTACAAATAGCTTCTCGGCCTCCTCCCACCGGCCCTGGTTCCTGTACGTCGACGCCAGGTTGGCTATGCTGCTCAGCGTTGAGGGGTTATCTCTGCCAAGAAGTTCCAGTCGAACCCTTACAGCATCTTGTGCAAGCTCCTCCGCCCTGGCATATTCCCCTACTATAAGCAGGTACCAGCATATGTTCGTCAGCAACTCACTCTATGCAAACCGATTGCTCTCTTCTGACGGCTCTTTATCTAACCACGGTTGGATATGCGGCAGCAGCGTCTGACAGGCCCCCTACGTTTCAAAGGCCCCTGACGGGAAATGCTGCGACGCTGATTGAATGAAGAGCTTCTTCCATCGTCTTCAATCCCCAAACTCCGATATCCAAACCCGCGTGCAAAATTGCACCAGGGAGTGCATCTCACAGAATCTAGGCATAATGGTAGGAGTAACAAGTGAGTAGCCTAGGAGCACATCCATGTCGTCCTCGAAATCTTCATCGTCCTCTTCGTCATCGTCCTCTTCGTCATCGTCGTCATCGTCGTCATCGTCGTCATCGTCGTCATCGTCGTCATCGTCGTCATCGTCGTCATCGTCGTCATCGTCGTTATCGTCGTCATCGTCGTTATCAGTTATTTCAGAGTTTAGAGGGTCGCTATTGTAGTCGTGCAACATATACTCGGGAATGTTCTGCGCGTGGAAGCAGCTCATCAGCGAGAGAAGGTTGGCCGCGCGTGGCTGCTCTCGCCGGATCTGCTCGAAAGTCACCTGCCACGTCACCACCACAGAGTTCGACACGCCTTCGTAGCGCCGAAGATCGCCTCTGTCGCTGCGAAGCAGAGTGCCCTTCCGTTTTTCGCTCTTCCGGAATTCGTCCAAATACGACTGGATGGTTACCCGGTCGCGTCGTTTGCAGATGTACGCCGCTGCTTAGTTCACGGCCAGCGGGATGTAGTCAAGGGTGCGAATCAGCTCCAATACCACGGCTTCGTCGGCATCGTGACCGAGCTTATTTTGGAAAAGCTGCAGCGCTTGTGACTCTTCCATTGTCGGGACCCTCAGGATCGCTTCGCCGCTGCCTGTCAGCTTCTCCGCGGCGTCCCAGCTGCACGAAGTGGCCAGGATCTTGCCATTGCCCGTCTTGGGCAGATAGGCTGCTGTCGGCACCTTCGTATCGTCCTCCATAGTGAAAAGTATCTCTACATCATCTGCGTTGTCGAGAATCACGAACCATGGAGTCATGTCCTCCCGCTGCAGCCAGTCACGGACCAGCGCCAGGACGTTGATGCCGGGCTCATGGCGACGGGGCAGTGCAAGCACGTCTGCAATAGAGTGATATGACTCTTCAAAAGTTGCTTTGCTGCCTCCGTGGACCCAGAAGACGCTGGTGTCAGGAGAGTCGGCCCGGACTTGATGGGCGAATTAAATAGCTAGCTGGGACTTGCTGCGCAACTATCAGCGCAAAATTCAACAGATCGAGCACGATATACCCAAAGCCGCCCATGCCTACAAGAGCCATGCGCCTCGCAGGGCCAGTATATTACTCTTTGATTCTTATCCAGATCGTCGTTCGCTCCACAAAGTCTGGGTCAGAGGGAAACGGTACAACGAAATGGGGTTGGCGGGCAACTGATAGGTCCTCCTTGGTATGGATCTTCAGTTCCTTTACTCCTTCTTGAAGGTCGTAAAGAAGAACCCTAGTGTGAGCCGTCAGATTATGGACTAACAGGCAGATGGACTACTTCTACGTATGTTTGGTGGGAATGCATGGTCTCTACTGCAGCCCTCGTTTCAGTCATTGTCTGATTGATACGCTTCAAATCTTCTTGAACTGTTCAGATTTAGCTAGCGTTTGGTGAACTGGATCTGTGATACTGACTGGCATCGAGCGCCGCGGCAATCGGCCTTTCTGCCTCGACCTTGTTTGGCGGGATCTGCCGCAAAAGGTCCTTCGCATATGCCGCCGCCATCATAGCCGCAAAGCCTTACCAATCCTCGTTCTTATGCGAATCGGAGTAGTCGTATATGCCGCGGATTACAAGACAGGGAAAGTAGTTTATCAGCCCAGCTGCCTCCATCTCGAAGCAGAGGACGCCCTTGTCCGCTGCCAGCTTGTCCCGGATGTGTGCATCCTTTATCAGTTGGTTTCTGCTGGCGATTAGTCCATAGTGGATGGCGGGATTGTCATCTTCCTCATCTCGTGCGTCGCGAGCCACAAGGTATGCCGCATTGCACACCATGTTGCAGTCGTCAGAGGTTTCCGGATACACAGCATTGGGCTTGTAGAGTCTGTCGCTTGTTGGAGGAGGCCGCGTGTACTTCTTCCGCTTCTTGATGCCTTTTAAGGCCCTTTCCACCTCGTCTGCAAGCTGGTGGCCCCTTATCTTGTATGTACCCCTCAGGGCACTGACAGCTGTTCGTAGTACCGTTGGTGGTTAGTCTAAAAAGCTTGTCTCTTGAAAGACGTGGTTCTGAATGGTCTTGCCAAAGTCGTATTGGAATACGCCGCCCTTCCCGCCGTCGCGGCTGCTGATAACTACATCGCCGAGCCGGATATCGTGCTTCGAGCCGGGCGCGCCGCCCCCGATGCCGACTATCAGCCCAATGCGCACGTTTGGGAAGCTGTGAAGTATATCCCGGGCTACCGCCGCCGCCGAGGTTGTGCCGTACTCTCCATCGGGTAGAACAGCAATGACGACGTTGTGACTGCCGATGTTGCCGAGGATATAGCTGTTGTTGTCGTGCTGGGCAACGTGGCTAGGCCCGTCGTGTTCTTCGTCGAGGAAGGCCCGGGCCGCGACAGACTCGGTGGTGATGGCGCAGATCCAGCCGATGGTGTAGCTCTGAGGGTTTGGCATGGTCGGTGTTCGGTATCGGGAGGAGGGAGGAGGGAAATGAGAGTGTCGAGGGGCATGCGACCGCTTGAGAAGCAGACGGGAACGGGTTAGACGGACGATGATGGCAAGGTCAAGAGTTGAGGTTTCGGAGCGGGGCCTTCTATGCACGAGATCAGGCTCTGGCCGGTTACAGAATGTTCGGGGCCATAACGCCCTCGGCGCTTGCGTGCGACGGGCTGCGGGCTGCGGCAGGCTGACAGCGCTGTGGTAAATGATTGGCGAAGGTGCCCGTCGCCATGCCCTCCACCTCGAATAAAACAAGCCAGCAATGGATGGAGACGGTCGGGTTTTACCATGTTCCCGGATCGACGGCGATGGAGTAGTCTACTTCGGGGGTCTTATACCGGCGGCTCTACTCCGCGATCTGAATTCCGGTCTTGCCATCTCCATATCCGATCGGCCTGGCGCGGGTAAGGCGATTCGGCGCCGTGCATCAAAATTGCCAGGTTGTCAGAAAAGAGATGAGACAAGGAATGTGGCTGAGTGGCCACTAAGATGTGGCTCGTTTTCCCAAGGTGGCCCAAAGTTCGTGGCACATGAAATGTGGCTTAGAAGGGTAGATCGTCAAGCGATCCGTGCGGTTAGGGGTGGGACGGAGGGCGCGGAAGGAAGAACCTTCGTCACTTACGTTCCTCAGGCATGATAGGAGACCGGTCCCCTACGGGGTCCGCTAATGCCTTTCGGAACGAGCCTGAAACGCAAGGCACTTGCCTTGTCAAAGAAAGAGCCCGACACAAGCACTTGTCTTGTGAAGGAACGAGGCTGACAAGCACCGTCTTGTAAAGCCTAGCATGCGCGTTTCTGGACCACGTAGGTGGCGCCTTGAGGGTAGGTATGCCTTAGGCAGTTGTGGGCGTCCTTGTAGGTGTCTGTTTGAAGGGAAAGGAGGAAAGGAGAGAATGTGGGCGTGCGTGTCGATGCCTTTTAGACTAGGCGCTATCGCCGGTGATGTCACGGACATGGCATCACCAAGATCTTCGCCGCCTCCAAACCCAACCGGATATATATCCTTCGCGGGTATTTATTGCCCTACTATAGTTACATTGATAGCCGAGGAGCGTATGGCCTAGTCCACGGGAATATGTAGGGTCTATATTGTGCACTTTTCCTGGTATTATGGTGGCTCATGTCCCTTTATTGATCTCTGATGATCCCGTGATGGATCGTCCTGGATCATAGGTGTCCCGCGGTGATCTAGTTTGATCCTTCCCGATCGGTACTTAGGGTACTCCATGCATCGGAATTACATCGGTATTCTGCACGAGCCAGTTAGCATTGGATCATCCCCCAATGGAATGTGGGGCTCGTATCGTGCTCGACTCACTCTGTTGGGCGAACGTAATGCACAGCGGCGGTCAATGCACGCACCAGGACTTCTGCCTAAGGCATAAAGGCCTCGTTCGATCTGCCCTGTGTATATGAGGCGGAGAGCCCTCGAGGGACTTCCCACTACCTGCTTCCTGCACTCAAACAGCTGAATGGCTGAATTGCTGGACTCTTGGAAATATCGTGCGCTGTCCGGTCACCAGAAAATATTTTTATCGTTCTTGATTCCACCTGATGGATTGATATTTTCCACCCCGTAGACTTCAAGAGTCATGTGGCTAGTTTGATTCCGCCGAATCACCCTGCTGTGGCTAACAAATGCCTTGAGGAACGAAAGGTCTTATGCCGTTGCCCCGAACTTAAGAGCTTCGCTCTGATTGGTGCAGCCGTTCGCGCCTTCTAATTCGCCTAAAATCATCTTTGCCTTGAGGAACGAAGAGAGGAACGAACGAAGTGACGAAAGGTCTTATGCTGTTGCCCTTCAACTTAAGCGCTTTGCCTTGAGGAACGAAGAGAGGAACGAACGAAGAGACGAAAGGTCTATGCCGCGCCCTCAATTAAGACCTCCTCCTGATTGGTGCAGGCTTGTCCCTCCTTCTGATTGGCGCAAAGTTCCCTCTTCTTTTTCCCCTCCTTCAACTCAATTGGTTGCTTTAGCTCGCTTCGCTATTGGTCATCGTTTTATCTCTGACTGCCTTTCCTGCCCTCCGATTCAATGAACCTCGTCGCCGCCTCGGAAGCTAGGAGAATATCATCCATCGGCGGCCCAAATGGAGCATCATATCGACTGATCCGGAGCGCCTGGTGACGAACATCCCCGAAACTAAGTGAAAATGGCGACAGAATAAAATGTTGCCCCTCACTTCTCCAAACCCGACCGTTCGTGTGGGGCATTAATTCATTTCCGTCGGTACATTGCTGCCTAATAGGCGGGGTTATTGCCGGGCGCCTAATCGTAATGACTGAATCAGGCTGCGTTAAGGTTAAAGCTTAGGCTCAATCTTCACGACAACAACATAGCTCCTTCACGTCTCCGTTGCTCCTACAGACTATGTCCAATCCATATGACTATACAGTTGGCTGGATTTGCGCTATTGCAACTGAGTATGTTGCTGCGCAAGTCTTTCTCGATGAAGAACACAAAGGACCTGAAGCCGTGTCCACACACGACAACAACGACTACACTCTGGGCAAGATCGGGAAACACAATGTCGTCATTGCAGTTCTTCCGCATGGCGAATATGGGATATCATCCGCTGCTGGCGTCGTGAAAGATATGCTTCACAGCTTTCCCAACGTCAGAGTCGGCCTGATGGTCGGTATCGGCGGTGGTGCACCAAACTCCAAGCAAGACATCCGCCTTGGGGACGTCGTGGTGAGTGCTTCTAGCAATGGCAAGGGCGCGGTGTTCCAGTACGATTTTGGAAAGGCCGTGCAAGGCCAGGAATTTCAGGAGACGGGATTCTTGAATCAGCCACCCACGGTTTTGCGAACAGCGGTGAACGGACTTATGACGCAGTACAAGCGCAAAGGGCACCAGATTGATACATCTATCAACAACATTTTGACTAAGAACCCGAGACTCAAGAGAGAGTTTGGCCGGCCCGAGTCGAGCACCGATCGACTATATCAGCCTGGAGCAGTTCACCCGCCAGATGACCAGTCTAGCTGCGCGACAGCTTGTGGCGATGACCCATCGACCTTAATAGTACGACCCAATCGTACTGAATACAAAGACAATCCGTCGATTCACTATGGTCTGATCGCTTCGTCGAACAGACTAATGAAGGATGCTTTGACTCGGGATACACTTGCAGCAAAGAAGGGCGTTCTCTGTTTCGAAATGGAAGCGGCTGGTTTGATGAACCACTTTCCCTGTCTCGTTATCCGCGGCATCTGCGACTACTTCTGATTCGCACAAAAACA